TCTTTCTTTCTGCTTAATATTTTTTATTAAGTTATACATTAGAAGTATAAAAGTTGCCCTAGGCACAAACAAGTTACAGAATTGTGTATACAAAAGCACTGTGGGCCACATGTGATGATTCTGGCCTTCACGGTGATGGTGTTGTGTCAGGATCCTACACTATCCACTCCAGCACTTACATGATTGCAATTCCTGAGGTAAACCTGAGTGTCCACAGCCAGCATCCCTGGATGTAAACCAGCCTTCAGTGAAATTCAGATATTCAGATTCCTGCATACGATACAATGAAATTCATAACTGTAATCGGATATTGAAGATTTAAAAATGGAGATGGGCCCTTAAAAAACTTTGTATCTATGTATGAAAAGACTTCGTTTCCACACCGTTCTGGAAGCTGATGCCCGCCTAGCTGGAGGTGGAGTGTTGGACTCCTTCTTATGCTAAGGATTTAACACGCACATTGTTGGCCGTGCGGCGCACACTTGATTATGATTGCGTTTGGGGTTATTGGATGTCTTCACCCCTCCTCATGTGCAGAATGCCAGACAAAGTGATTTAATCACCCTTAACTTTTGTCCCTTTCTTTGCTGCAGGGAATTGTGGGTAACTTGGCCAGCGGCAAGTCGGCCCTGGTGCACCGCTACCTGACGGGCACGTATGTGCAGGAGGAGTCTCCAGAAGGTAGGCCGCAGGGCGGGCCGTGCAGGGCAGCACGGGGAGGTTAGGCTTTAAATCTTTCACTAGCGTGTCCCAAGTCATGGCTTGGAGGTATCATGTACCAAGAAAGTAACGAAGCATAGCCAAGCAGTAAGCAATCTTTTAAGTGTAGTGTGGTTCTGTAAGAATTTTAGCAAACTAATTTTATTCCCTCTGGCATTTGGAACAAGAGAGTAGAACCATGAAGAGCTGTTGAATTTATTTCCTGTCCGATGGTTCTGTCCTTTCCAATGTTAGTCCACTGTTACTCCTAAAGATTGATTGGGAGTTTCCCTGACTGGAGTTTGCATTTATTTATAATGTTGCTTAGCCATAAGTGGCAGCTTTTCTAGATGAGAAGTCCAGATTATCACCACCATATGTTTGAGTATGTTCCCCTTTTATATTGTATTATGAACATTTAATAATCATTTTGCATGTGAGTTAGGCATTTCTTTTGCCATTAGACATTCTTCCATTAACATATCCACGTTTTATTTTTTGCTCTAAATATGATTATAAGAATGTTAGGAAGCCATGTAGTTCCTTAGTGCAGGTGTAGTTCACAGCTAGTTTTCTAAATTATATTTTCTCTCCATGTAACGGTTTCAATCCAACTCTGAGACACTGAATTTCTGGTTCCTTCTTTTTCTTACTGGCTGTTCCATTCTTTGCAGATATGGATGCAGGTAACTATACACTTTCTTCATGGCAGCGCTTGTCTTGTTGTGGAGAGAGAGGAAAGACACAACTGTACTGTAGCCTTCCCTTCCCTCTTGTTCTGTGTTTCATCCTATTTTGTTTCATTTTTACCTTTTTTTTTTTTTAAGTTCATCATTCCACCCTGTTTTGTCCCTTAGGTGTCTTTTGAGCAGTAGTTGCAAGTAGCTTCATGTGTCCCCGTAACCTGTTCTAGTACTTAACTCTTGTCCTGGCTACTGTGGGTACATTCAGCGAGAAGAGAGTTCCGTGGGGCTCTGCCCAGGGCTGCTGCAGGATTTTACAGTCGCCTTCTGCTAACCTTGTGGCAGTCGCATCAGGGAAAGGCTCACTGTTTAAGTGCTGCCGCTGAGGGTGGCTTGGGAAGGCTTGTGTGCGGGGGAAGGGAAGCGAGGCCTGCGGGGAGCGGTGCTCGCAGGGTGTGAAGTAGGAAGAGTCGTGTTCCTGGGCGCCTTCCCACTCCTTTCAGGGACCTGTCCCTGGGCTGGGCACGTGTGTTTATTCCTTTGTGTCTGAGTGTGAGTGGGAGGCCCCCCCCCCAACTTGCTTGTACCTGGACAGTCTTGCCCCACTGTTGTCTGGGGTTTTCACTTGCTTCTTGGGGCTCACGTTGGGGGGAACAGTGAAGTCAGCGGCCGAGGGTCTGCTGCAGAGCCAGCGTGTGGGAGCCGCACTCCTTTTCCAAGGAAGTGTGCCTTCCGTGTGCTTCAGCTCTCCAGCCGGCGCCACCAGCAGTCCTGGGGTGGCCCTGAGTGTGCTGTCACCACATCAGAGTGGGTGAGAGTCCTGCTGGAGGAAGTGCCAGGACCACACCTCGCTCACAGTGCCTTCTCCGAGTTGCCTATCAGCCACTCGGGAGGCTTCTGCTCGTTCCCTTGGGCGCTCTTGTTTGTCCCATCATGTCGCGCCTGGCTGGGATTGCCCTGCACTGGATCATGGGCCCTTCAATTAGTTTAGCAAGGGCCCATTGGTGTTGCGTGTACGCACAGCAGTAAACCTGGACCCGGTGCGGTGGCCTGACTGTGTTCACTAACAGCCCCACTTACAGGGTGGTTTTTAAGTGACACTTCCCACAAAACTCAAATTTCAAAGATTTCACAAAATGGTCTTACAAAATTCTTTTTTTTTAATCTGTAGGTGGGGTCTCACACTGTCCAGGCCACTGGCAGCAGTCTAAGGGTCTAGGAGGGATCGTCTGGGTTCTTGGCTTAGACCTCTAGGCTCACCCAGATATCCGCCCTCTTACCTCTTGACCCCAATCCAGAGGAAGATAAGAGCAGCCTCTTGCCCAGTGAACCCCAAGGGGTGTGTCAGGGCCCTGGGGTACCCTACATACAAGCCCACAGACCCTCAGCCCTTCCAACCGTATTTTCCTGTCGCTGCCACCTGTGCCTGTCTGGATCTAGGCAGGGTGTGACATTGCTCCTTTTCCTGACAGCAGTGACTTTCTAAAGCTTCCTGTATGTGTTACCTGGAGTCCTGTCCCACAGCAGAGGGAGCAAGGGCTGGCTGGAAGGAAGTGTGTGAGAAGAGCCGTGTTTCCCTGTGCCCCCCTCGCTGTCCTGAGGTGTCTGTGTGGCCGGGTGCTGCTGGCAAGGGCTCCCAGTTCTTGCCCCATGAGTGAATGTAACACGTTGCCTGTGCTTGCTTAAATTGAGTTGGTATGTCAGCATATTCTGAAGTTGGGGTATGAGTGTTGTCACCCAGGTTTGCAGAGTCTTGGGTGACATGAGTCACATCAGGTATTCAGGAACTAGTAGTTGAAGCTGAACATAGCTGACTGGGCCTGGCCAGTGTCTGGGCATTGGCATTTGAATGAGCTATCTGATTCTTCTAATTCTTAGTATTATTTCTGATTTGTCCTCTGTGAGGCTGTTTTTTTGTTACTATTGCAAAATACCCGAGGCTGGAGACTTTATAAAGAAAAGAAGCTTACTGATTTAGCTCATACAGTTTTGTGGCTGGAAGTTCAAGGTTGGGTGGCCCCATTTGTTTGGTCCCTGGTAGGGGCTTCATGTTGGGTACCATCAAGGCAGGAACACACAAGAGGGCCTGAGTGGTGATACTCACAGCCCGAGAGCAGGAAGGGGACTGTTCTGTTCTTTGTAGCAACCCTCAGGAGACCTGATGAGGGTCGCAGGAGGATGACACCTTTCCCAGGGCGGTGCCACTTGTACCAACTCCATCTGTATAGATTTCCCCACTTCCTAAGGCTGCAGCCCTGCAGAGTGAGCTTCATGCACCCGATCCTCGGGCCCCCCGCCCCCTGCAGCATCCCCTTTGCCCTCATGGCTGCTGCTTTAGATGACAGGTACTTGCCATGGTGTGGCTGCACGCCCTGGGGCCCAGCTGCACCTGTAGGCTTCCCTCTGCTCACCCTCTGGTCTGTATTGAGGCCTCTGATTTAATTAATGGGCTAATATCCTTTGTGCCAATTTGGCCCCACCCAGGATGTTCGGGTTGCCAGGGTGGAGGAGGAGGCACCTCTCAGCAGAGGAGGTGGTGTGCAGAGCCAGCCACGGGTGCCAAGGTCCTTGGGTCAGCGGCCTCAGCCTGCTTCTCGCAGGGACACAGTTGTCTTTGCCTTGTGCCACTTTCCCTTGATGTTTTCCTCTTCCAAGGAAGAGAATGGACTCACAGATCGTGCTAATGTCAACGGTGCAGCTCAAGAGGGGGTGCCTCAGCTGTCGTGCTGAACCCCACTGGTAATTAGTTGTGTAGCACAAAACAGACAGCTCAGGAGGGCATTTGTGATGTGTGAAGGAGGGCAGAGTGCAGACCTGCACAGGCAGCTGCCCAGTGTGTGTGTGTGTGCCTGCACACATGCGGTGAGTGGTTGTGTCGCAGAGTCCTCGAACCGCTGGGCCACCTCAGGCAGGGTGATTTGAAGCAGTTTATTCTCTCGTATTTCTAGAGCCTAGAAATCCCGAGCCAAGCTCGTAGACCTCCAAGATCCGTTGCTTTTGGAGGCTTAGAGAGAATCAGGTCCTGGCCCTGCCCGACGTCTGGTAGCCCCTGCTGTGTGTGGTGTCCTTGGGTCATCACCCTAGCACCCCAGCCTTGCCTCAGCTGCCCAGGGCTCCCTCCAGCCCTCCAGCTCCCCCTGTGCCTGCGTGACCTCGTTTCACCCAACTCCAGCTTCCAGGAGCCTGTTTGGAAATAACGGTCCCGCGGCAGGTGCCGGGGTGGAGGATCTGAGTGCATCTGTCAAGGGCCCGGTTCCACCTCAGGCAGCATGTGTCCTGCAGGAGGGCTTGTGAGTCTGCCCAGAACTCTCCCACTGTCCCTGTCCCTTCCACTATCACACTCTCCCTGGCTGTGGGTGTGCCAGCACTGTGGACTGCAGAACCTCACAAGAATGACGCAGCCTACGTGTGACCATTACACCTCTGGGAAATTTCACAGCCACCATTCACATTCCAAAAAGAGCACTGGGTGAAAATTAAGCTGCTGCTGTGAGCGTCCTATTATTAGCTGCTGATTCGGATTGTTCAGTTTTCTCAGCCTGTGCAAGAAAGCCTGGCTTTAGAGTTCAGTGTGCATCTGGCCTTCCTTGGCAGCCACATGGCACCACTTGGTGTTTGACTCTCCCCTTGAAGGGAAGCTCAAGAGTCAGAGACACGGCTTGTGCAGTATTGCGTGGGAGCACTGGGGTGTGGACTGCCCTGAGACGCGAGATGCTTGGTTCCTTGTGAGCTGGGCTGTGATGTCCCCAGAGGTGCGAGGCCACCTTGCTGGTCCCTGTCTGTGGTATGCACGCTGTTGTGGTGTAGAGCTAGATGTCCCCCCAAGCCTCCTGCACTCGTCCTGAGGCCTGTTGGAGGTGATGGCTCTTGTATCATGGTTAAGCTACTGCTGAGTTCGTAGCTAAGTGTAACATGGAGCCAGGTGGAAGGAGGCGGTCATTGGGGCGTGACCTGCAAAGCCGCTCCCTGATGCAGAGCTGGTCGAACATAGCCCAAACAGGAGTCCAAATGAACCTTCCTGCCTTTGACACCTTCCTGCTGGCCCAGTCATCAGTGACATACACGACTGTCCCCTTATGCAGCTTATGCCACAAGTGGGAATGTCCCAGGCCACGTGGTAGTGGTGAGACGTGAATGATGGCCCCATCATGAAAGTGCTAGTCGCAGGTGTCACAGAGGGCCGAAGAGTGAGTGCCTCAGACATGGCCTGTGCTTGGTCCTCCTGAGCGCCAGGGATCCACTCTAGTAACCATCTGTGAGACATTTGGACAGAAAAGTGCAAGGCTGTGGCCATGCTGC